CCCCACCCCCCACCCCTCTCCACCACACCTGCAGATCAGTAAGATGCACGATGGTGGCTGCTGAGGCTTTGGGTAATGTGTAATCTTTCGAGGAGCAGAAAAGCACGCCGCGGTCTCATTTCTCAGTGCAATTATCATTCTTTCATTGTTACGCTGTTAAATGAGGTGAACGAAGGGGACCGAGGTGTGGTTGTCTTTGATGGTCCCACCCCAAGTCTTCACACATAATTAAACAACCACATCAGTGTGTTTTCCCWTCATCGCAGCCATTACTGTGATCCAAGCCTTTTCCCTTTCAAAATGTAATGGAGCCAACTCTTCGGATGGAATGAAACCTCAATAAATGTGGCTCATCTTTTTTTTCCCTCCTCATCACCGGAAACACAAATCCACGATGAGATTCACGACAAGCCTCAAAAGTGATGAAAAGCAAGGCGGTGGAGCGACTCGCATCAGCTGCAGCGCTGGAGAGGAGCAACACCACGCTTGAAGCTATCACGAGCTGTCTCAAGGTAAAACAACAACGAGACGAGGGCTGAGGACTGAGGAGAGGAAAGTTTCCAAACAAGCGGGGTAGTTTGGAGTAGAGGAGCCAAGAGTCGGTGGGAAGGCGCTGCCAAACACCTCCAGTGATGCAGGCCTCCACTGTGGCACGGCAGCGAGCTCCCTGGCCAGCTGTCCTAGTTGATGCTCAGCATCAGAACACAAGCTTTCTAGAGGATCTCCTGTAGCAGCCAAGGCTTCAAAAATTCCTCTACAGATTTGCCACATTCTCAAATGAAGACGCATACTGTGACAGGTAATAGACTACACCTCCGAAGAGTTAGTCTCACAGGAGCTGAGAACAAAAAAAGCTTTGAAGGGTTTCTTAAAACCACAGGAGATGCCAAGATAATTTAACCAAAAAAAAAAAAAAAAACACCTAACCGAAAAATGAACTCAACACCACAAGCAACATTAATGTCTCTGTCTTACTTTTTGTAGCAAAAAATAAATAAATATTGCAGGTTTTGTTCTAGTTGTCAGGGAGCTTTTTGAAAGTAAACCAGGTGAAAGCATCAAAAATTAAAAGACCAACAGCGTCAGACATGATGACATATGTCTGGTTCTGAAACACTGGATTTGATTTAAAAGTTTCCAGCTGGCTGATGCCGTATGGGTCTAATTAAGCCCGAATGCATTTTCTGAAAAACAGATCTGAAACAGAACTTGAACTCCTATTAATCAGCAAGGTTTCTTCCTTGTCAGCCCTCTACGGCTTTAATTAAAAGTCCGCTGGAATGGCAGTTCACACATGTCACTTCCTATTTGAGGATTTAGGGATGTAACTAGGACACTCGTTATACAGAATACCACTTCTTAGATTGTTTTATTACACGGAAGACCTTTAGAGGCCCTGCAGTCAGGTAGAAAGCCTAGTCTGCTGTTGTTTTCCATCAGGTCTGTATACTCTACAGCACGTCAAACTCAAGGCCCGTGRGCCGGTGAATTCTGTCCAACCTGCCTAAAGCCCCGCCTCCAACAAAATAAATGTAAAAGTTGAAAGATAATATTATGCTTCCTGCCCATGAGCAATTTAGTTGCATAGCCAAACAAAGTGATGTAAAGCCAGCACTGAACTTAAACTACATCTCCCATAATGCACCGTTTTGAATGGAAATTTCCTGTCAGTATGTGATCCGAATTCAAGACATACCACAACTCCACAGTGAATAAGATTCTCTTACTTTTACCTTTAATAGTATTTCTGTAGTATTTATTTCACAATTAGTCAGTCTTACACGTAGTACTTTTTAGTGTTTATAAGAGAACGAGTTAAACAATGTTTCTATGCAGGAAATACCACATAGAGGTCATATAATGTTTGCTAGTACTGCTTAGCCTTAGCAGTGAGACAAGGAACGTGACATTTTGTGTTTTTAGTCAACGTTAAACACAAAATGTTAAAGTTAATTACAACTGGCCCTTTGAGGGCCACCATAACATTCATTTGGCCCTTGATGAAAATGAGTTTTACACCCCTGCTCTATAGTCTTTACCCCTGTGCGAAATTTCTGATAAAAGCAACAATTCAGTCCTTTTTTACACCTTATCAAAAACTCACAAACTTTGAACAGAAATTAGAAATATTAAGCGCTGTAGATGCAATCTTGCTGTATTTTATGTAAAAAAAAAAGAAAAATAGAAAAATAATGGATACAATTTTGCATTTTGTGGTTGTGGGGAACTCTGCCCAGGGGTAACGCAAATGTAGAGTGTCTCTGCCAACAAGCTGCAGCTGTGAAACATATGAATTGTTTCTCTCCCGCTGATGAGTAATGAGTGAGCGAGAGATAAAAGACTGTCATACTGTTTTTTTGTCATCATAAGGAGAGCATTGTTTTGTTAATTCATTTTCGGCTTTTGACGGCTTTCGTGGCCACGCCACAAGCTAAACCGTCTACGGATCCCACAGCAGAGGGTTTTGATTGCCGCTCTCTTTAACTCCTGCATTGTGAGTGTGTGCTTTTTCTGTGACTGAAACCCTTTCAGCCTCAGATTGTAGTTCATTTATAACTTAATTGCTGTGCTAGTCCCTGAAGCCAGTGGACATATTGCTTCTTCCTTCTGAAATGTCTCTCAGACTGCTCTGCTTGACCTTCGGGGCTCTTCTTCATCAGGTCCAATTTGCCATCTACAACTACCTCGCTAATTATGACTCCCGAACTGACCTGTCTGAGTTTGAGTCTTATGTGGGGGCTTTGATTAGCCTCCTGTTTTTATCACCTCTGAGTCTTCCATGTTGTTATCACGCTTTCTGCTGACAGCCCCATTGCCTCAAGGTTGCAGACTGCAGTGCGGCTGCATAAATTTGACATTCATGTCTTAGGAGCTGCAGAACCGCTTCTCCGTCAACATGCCTATTTGGAACAACTTTGTACAGGTCAAGACTCCTGTCCTGAAAATATAAAATAGCGACGCTGCAAGGAGGGGTTTATCTATGACAATTTGTGAAGTAGTTTCCTCTGAAAGGAAAAGCTGYAATTTTTTTTGATTATAGTAAACATAACATACCCTAAAAAACTCTTTTGTTGAGCCTGAGTCCAGAGTGCCGTAGGCTATTTCTGTCTGCTTGGCCAGATCTTCAGCACTTTCTATAGGTGAGACCATTCTCTCCACAGTCAAGAAGGCAGCCAGGTTGGCAGTGTAGGAGGAGATGATGATGAGGGTGAAGAACCACCACACACCACCGACGATACGACCTGACAGCGATCTGGGAAAAGACGAGGGTGAATGCAAAGAAAAGGAAATTAGTGTAATCAGAGTGACGTGTGGTGCCAATCAAGCCACTAATGTACCAGTTAAGTTTAAAGGGGCAATATCATGTAAAATCAACTTTTTTGAGTTTTATGTCATGTTATAACGTTATCCTCTCATCAAACACATGCCCAAAGCCTTGGTTTGACTCATTCATGTATGTTTGAGAAATYCTGCAGTGTTTTTAGGCAGCATTGCTGAGGAGCAAAACGACAGGTGGGGACCAGAAACGCCTTTTGGRACCAGAAATGCCTCTGTGTTGTGTACTTTTGGGACAATCTCCTCCTCTGGGACGTGTCTTTAAGCCGAACTTCCTCATGGCAGAGCGCCCCCCCCCAACTTCCCCACACACCCCACCCATGACTCCTGCAGTCTCTCAGCAGTAACAAAGCAAACAACGGGTGAAACTGAAAGTGAAACTGTCTGCTGAGCTCCTAACACTACTCACTCAGTGAAGCTCTTTTCAGATTCAAGATACCTTTGAGGAAATGTATTTTCAGATGCCAGATAAACTGCATCATAGCGCGTGAGCCCCGCCCCCCCAGCACTGAAATGGGCGGGACAGAAGCGGAAGGTGGTTCTAAAAGCGACAGAGGCCAATTTCAAGGCGTTTAGAAGAGGAAGTGATGAGGAGATAAGTTTATTTTCTATTTAAACATAAAAACAGCACTTTAATAACAACTAAATGTGATATAGATACTTTATTATGGTATAGTATTTAAATATATGTCTGAGAAACACATAATATTGGCCCTTTAATATATAAGTGATTGAATTAGTCATCATAATTTCCCGGTAAATCATTAAAACAAGAGAGAGCTGTGTCAGTAATGTAAAACAGCACAATTCCAAGGAAAGTAGAATGAGTTGTTTGAGTATTTTCAATCTACTGAAACAGTCAGGATAGAAGTATGGTCCAATCCTGAACCTTATGAATCTGTTTTTTTTTTTTTTGTAATTCAGAAATGCAATGAGGAAATTACAAGAAATGCTGTGTACAACTGCCGCAAAAATGTCAAATAAATTATAATGATCAAAGCAAACACAAAAATGAAGATGATTTTCAAGAATTTTTTCAAAAATATAGACACAGAACAAAACACCTCTGCAGAAATTCTAGATAAACCTGAGAACAGTCAAATAAATCAGTTTCACAAAACTCAAGCGGACGATTTCAAGTAGCTTGGATCAAAACAATGTCAAAACGTTTTCATAAATGCAACATCAGTGCGTGCAATTAATGTGTACAAGATCGAGGTGTGCAATATTTTGTATGCGACTTCACCATGTGCATCATCACTTCATGCAATATAATTTTGTACAGTATTAGTGTKTGTATAATTGTATTGTGTGCAATATAAACTGTGCAGCATTACTATTTGGAATATGTGTACAATATCAGTATTGTAAAATCTAGTGGTGTCCTAATACCTGAATGCCAGCATTTTTACAATCATACAAAATTCCCTGATATCTATAACATTTTTGAGACTGTATTTGATACTCCATTGAATAGTTTTTACATTTCATGTGAAACTTTTGTCAGTTCCATGTTTAAGAAATTTATACAAGTTGTAAGAAAATTCAGTTATTTTTATTTTAAAATGTTTCAACAGTGCCATGCTGATGATCCAATCAGAGGCGATGCAGCCTAAAAGGAAGGAGAGCCACTTCGTTCTAAATAAAATAAATATGTTTTTAAATCATTGTGTAAAATTCTAAATCAGTATTGGAACTCAGAATCGGCGAGTACCGAAACTGTAGTACTCCTATTTGGTTTGAAAGAAACTGGTATTTGGTATTGGGACACCCCTAKTAAAAAAATATTGTTGGACTGAGTAAAGAGCCATACATTCAAATGGTTGCTAAAAAAACTGTTGTGCCGCTCTATAAACTGGAATCTACTTGAGTTGACCCACCTGGGAGAGATGTCACAGCCCTGCTGCATGAAGGCGCCCAGCGAGAACCAGAGAGAGTTGAAGATGCCAAAGTCATTGGGAGGATCGGGGGGAGTTTGGGGGTCTTTGGTCTCATCCTGTTCCTCGAGGTTCCACTCATAAGGACTGAACCGACTGACCAGGAACAGGACCACGCTCACCCCAATATAGGCAAACACTATACACATCCAGATTTCATAGGCCAGCGGGTCCAGGAAGGAGAAAACACCAGGCTTGGACTTTTGTGGCTTCTTTATCATAATGGAGATGCCCAAGCTCATAAAAGGTTTGGAAAAGTCTATCACCTCCTCTCGAACCAGTGTAATGGTGAGAGGTGCAACGGCTATATCTGCTCTCTGGAAACAGGGGACATGCACAGCAAGCGTTAGTCATGACCTGCATTTAGAAAATGGGTCATTGCATGTGTGAATGATTGCAGCTGCTTTTATTTCACAGTTAACAAAATAAAATAAAATAAAATAAAATAAAATTAGAAATTAAGCCACAAACTGCAATTTTCAAAGGAAAGCTGAAAAAAGGGGGGACTCGTGCAGGAAAAGCAGAGTTGCTAAAATTTTACATATGGAGTCCAAGAACAGTAAACTCAATTTCACACATAAAGGATGCAGCATTTAGAGGTAGAAAAAAGAGAAAAAGCTCATAGACGGCTGGGACATGTTCAAATAGGCCAAGTGGAAACTGTTAGGGATGCACAATATAGCAAAACCATTTCGTGTAATATTACGTGTAATGTCAATATCACAAAAAAACACTCATTGAGTTTAGATGGGAGTGGTCAAATTGCTAAAACTCGAAAAGTGTTGGTAACGTCATTATGATCAAATAGAAAGGGAGGGAGGAAAAAAACACAATCCATTATTCCAATATTCAAAAATAGTATCACARTTACATTTTTGTAATATCGTGCAGCCCTAACTATTCATAAGAACAGGTGGGATTTTGAGTCATGTTTGACAAAATGCCACAAAGACGGAAAGAAAATTTCATTAAAAAATTAATTATTTTAGTGCATTTTTAAAATTAAAAGTATTAGTTCTAATTTGCAGGACGTGAAGACGTTGCTGAATGTAAAAATCTGTAAGCCCCGTCTGTTTACACTTCAACACACGCCATTCGGCGTGCATGGTTTCCAAATACATCTTATTCTGGCATTGTATTTTTTTTCAAGCTGTTTCTCTTTATCTCCCTCCTTTGCTCTGCTACTTCAATCACATTTTGCTATCAAAACACATCCATGGAGGTGGTGCTGCCTTTTTAGAAATCACAATGGGTTTTCCCTGTAAAAGCAAAGGAAAATAATTAATCACGTTAGACAATGCTGCTGCAGACTGCGCGCATGCGATTAATTAAATAATGCTTCTCTTCAAAGAAGCAACTACGCAAAAAGACAAAGCCCCCGTATTGTAGTGCAGGGCCATGTTGTCTCTTCATGTCGAAATGGAGAAAACGTCGAACTGAAGGAGCACAAAGGCAGCAAATGTTTTCTCTTTTTTTTTTTCTTTTTGCGAGGTCAAAGCAGGAGCGACACTAATAGAGCCGATAAACACAACTGTTTTCTTTTTCCCTGTCARCTCAACAACACTGAGAAGGGCTATWACCATTTACAATCAGTGGTGAGGGAAGCAAAACAATAAAGAGCAGCCGCGGGCCTAACCTTTAAAAAGACAACTAAAATCAAATTAATTCACTGGTCAAAATGTCAAAATGTACAAAACTGTTAGCGCCAGTCGACCTGCTGCAAAATCACATTTTATGGAAAGATTTGACAATGATGTGATTGGGATGTTTTTTTTTTTTACTCCTTTCATACATGGAGTGGATTTTTCCCATTTGAAAGATAATTTGGAGGCGACAGCACATCAAACTAAGCAATCTTTCAGGCTGATAGTTAGGATATTGAACAAGTGAGGAAACCTGAGCCTCATGCATTTTGTATTTGGCCCCTGCTCAGCTGCTGAGACCTCTGAGAATGGCAACCGGGCCGAGAAAAAGGGTGGGGGTGGGGCTTAAAGGGGGCATTCTTTGAAACACTTAAGGTATTTCCAAAGCTCTGTTTGCTGTAAAAGACAGCGTGTCCCTCGTCGCTAGTGTGAGAGGTTCCACCTCGTGGAGCGCAGCACATATGGATCTTATTGTTTCAGATCGCAAACCATCATTTAGCTGTTGACTCTGAAGCCGATTACTCAGCTGTGAATGTGGCATATTCATCAAACGCTCTGAAACATTGAACATAATTACACAGTTACTTCAAAGACAAACAATCTTTCATTCATCAAAGTGATTGCAGTGTGTTAGCCATATGGACTCATTGTTTTCATGTACCTACCTCTGTTTCAACTGTAAAGGGAGAAAGCTGTCTAGGCTAAGCAGGAGGGATTAATTGCAATGAACAGCACTGAGAAATGATTTCATTTTCTCCGTCTCAAAATGATCACCAACTCCTCGGTGCTTGGGGCCGCGTTCGACAAATCCACTCGCAGCCGAGCTTGGCGAGACAGCGTCGGACTTTGAAACCGGGCAAGAGCTGATGAGCTCACAATGGGTTGGTGATCAGCTTAAGGCGGAAAAATGAGATCTCCTCTCATGTTGAAGTTCCTTGCAAACTGTCATGTAATCAGCAAAATCGAGACTCCCAGTACTCACCCCATAGACCAGTTCACCCACCATCCCGTTCCACATCTTGGTCTCAGGGTCTCGGGCTCCGTACTTGCCATCCTTTACTATTGACAGTTTGTACCTAATTCCAACATGTTTGGCAATCTCAGATGCTAAATCGACGCAGTAGCCTTCATATCTGTCATTCCCCTCCAGATGCAAAAAATTTTTCTTGTACATCACATACGGAGCTTCCTGTTGATTTAAACACACGCTGGTTTATTCACTTCATTGTTCACACGCACATACAGTTGTACAGAAATATGCAAACATGCGTTCGTGTTTTCATGCACATACACCCCACACACACCAAATGCACACAAGTACCTTTATGGCTTCAGAGAACATTACATTCCCTAAATTCGCACGGCGACTTTTCCTTTAACTCCCTACCACAAAATATGTGACTAATCTTTATTTTCACTTCAACAGAAACCACCCTGAGAAAACTTTGAATTTTAAACAGCACATTGAATAAAGAGACTATAATAAAGGCGGCGGTGTATCTAAGGTCTACACAAGGTGTCCTCAAGTGTCAGAAACTATGAGACACCAAGTTATCTTTGGCAACGTCAAAGATTATTTGCCTTATGAGTAAGTGACAAAGTCAGCATAAGAAGTTAGATGGGATGAAGGTGATGTGTAACACTGTAGAAAAGTTCTGAGTCATCCCTATTTTTTTATGTTTCGCTTCCCAGGAGCTAGACTTTGTTGCAATCTTTCAAAGAGTTCTTGATCAATATTTCCTCAGGCTTTCTAAAGGACTTTCAAAGTTTCTCTCTCTTTTTTGCTGCTTTTTCAACTTATTTACTGTCCCTGAACATTTTTAGATGAATGATTTTTTTTGCTAGTTCAGCAACTTAATTGTACCCTTGAGGGATGAACTAATATTGTGCTGACAGACAACTGACAACTTAGCAAAGAACCAGTTTTAAATCTTTAGGCCTTTTATTGCTATGMGCTGGTGACTTTGATAGTTTGCAGTCTGTCAAAAAAGACACATGTTTCTACTTCTTTAGTTAAATCTGTGGACAAATATCACAGACAATACAGTTTGGCAGACATAAAATATTACTTTATGACAAAGAAATGTGACTTCCTAACAGCTAGGCTAATATTATTGTAAATCACAGGATGCAAACCATAAACATAGGTATTTTTATATGCTTTAGATATTGAATAGAAAATATTAGAAATAAGCATTGCTTTGTTGTCCTAATTTGGTTTTTAGTTGGACAATTTTCAATTATGATATATCAATGTTTCATTTTGGGGGGTTGAAACCAAATATACAAACATCATTTGGCTTAAAAACATTCTTTCAGACTGTTTATCAAAAATAAATAAATAAAACTTCATACTGTACTTTTAACCAAAGCCTATTTTCACTTTAGAATTTTAAGAGCTGATATTGGAGAAATGAATTTTTGTCTCCATAAGGTAGTCCTCATAATGTCACCATAGATGAGAAACGCACATCAACACACTTTTGCRCWAACACACACACGCACACAGASTCAATTCATTATTAGCTGCTATACCCACACTCATGCAGTCATGCATAAACAGATGATGCCCTGTGAATGCACAAATATGCAGTGATAACAGCAGCCCGATCRTACGGTCACACTGCTCTCATCAAAGATGTGACAGTCAGCCGACACCCAGCCTTCATATACCAAACCCATTTTAGGGGCCGGGTGAAACTATGAGACATGATCAATGAGGTTTAATCAAAAATATGTTTTTGTTTGTTTGTTTGTTTATTTTTTTCCTAGGCCACAATATACTTTTTTAGAGCTGGGTGTTGCTGGCATAGGCAAGGTGTGGGTCAGCTCTGARGTTGAGGGGGGGCGGGGCTTACGAATGGGGATACGTTTCACAAGTAAATGCCAGAGACAGGAGCGGGATCAGAGAGTGCCCTTGGTTTCCTAGCATATTCAAGCACACTGCACCGACAATGTGCAGTTAAAAAGGCTCTTACATTCCCATAAATAAATATATATAAAAAATAAAATAAAAAGAGCTATTAAAAATTTATTAAATTAAAAAGGTGCTACTTTCAACCCAGAACAATGCAAAAATATTATAAATATATAAATATATTATAATATATTATGTATATAATATATAAATATAAAAAAAATCTAAACAAACTTCAAAACACAAATGATTAAAGTAACAAAGCAGAAGCGTGCTGTTTCATTCTTTGTTTTTTCATACCCCCCTCCCCAAATACACCATAGCAGCTCGTCCTTCTTTCTTCCTAAGCAGCTCATCGTTATCAAAAGGCGGGTGCTGCTCAGGAGAGCAAGCGTCGTCATTACAGCCACATACAATTAGAGTGCAAGGAGGAGAGCAATGGTTTGTTTGTTCTGTGCTGAATGTTTCCCCCTCTCCTTGGATCCGTTGAGCATTTCCTTCCAGTGAACGCGTGTTTACTCACAGGCTGYTAAACGCTTCCAAATGCTTGTTTGGATCACAAGTGAAATCTGCATTTCAGAAATACTTATTGCTTTTCTTTTATCTCTTCAAAATGTTTGTTTGCAGAGAMTGCGGCACTGCGCTCTGATATTATTGGGCATTATACAGGCAGTAACCACATTTTCAATGGGAAGCCTGAAACATTTAGTTGAGTAAATACAGTTGTAATAAAATAAATTTAAAATACGATGCCTCCCCCCTACCCCCCTCCTCCTAATGTGATCCGGGGGAAATGGCAGAGAAAATACTTCCCTTGCGAAGCTCTGGAGGGTGCTTAAATATACTTCAACACAGAACACATGGAGGGGGCAATACAAAATAGATTGGAGAAGCGATAAATGTGGGGGAGCACAACCAAATTTTATCCCTCTCCAATAGAATTTATTTTGCTTTGCCCGGCTTTTCGGACCACTGCAGCATCATTCCCCGGTCGTTCCGCAGCCAGTCTGTCCCAAGTGTCATCGGACATTTACTTGATGAGGAACAGACACGTCTACTTACGCATGTGTTTGTATGCTTTTTGTAACTGATGGAGTCAACCATTATCACTTACACCATTTATTGTGATGTCACTGCTACGACAGGCCACTAAAATATGGAAAACCAAAATGCTTTGACACCCACACGGATACAGTTGAAACACTCCCCACCCCACCCCCGCTACGGGGGGGGGGAGTTTTGTACCGACTGTTTCAACGTGTAGTGAGTGGATGGAAAGCAACACAAAGAAGATGTGGTTCTACCCGCCCAGGACAGAATGTATCACTCATTGGAATCAACACCATGACCTCGAGTGGCAGAAAACAAGGGGGAGGACACATTTAAATCTGCACGGAAAGTGTACCATAATAGTAGTGACCACAATGGTTCGGTTTTCCACTGAGGAGTCGTTGGAGCCCTGCGAGTCCAGAATATTTACAAACCCCGTGTACTCGTTCCAGTATCCGATCTGCGAAGAGAAAACAGTGGGTCGGTGAGGCATTCCAGCGCCTGGCGCCATAAAAAAGGGAGCATGCAAGGAGGGACAAATATTATTGGGAACTGCAGCGATGCAGACTCATTAAAACAACACCACATTTCCCTGAGGCACGCTGCCTCTATGCTAAAGTTCAGYTTAAATAGCAGCGAGTGAGCAGCCTGCTAATGTGGCCTGGACARCCTGAAGTTAGTCAAGAGTTGGGCAGGAAGTTGTTTAAAAATGCTCTTTTATGTTTTTCTGCCGGAATAGTTTGTGTGCAGCGTAAACAGTATAAACGTCATGCAGACAACCTCAGTCCTGCCTACATGCAGCTTACAGACATTTTAGCTAGTGTTTCAGCTAAATCACATGCTAAAAGCTAAAAGAAACAGAACACAAGCTAAGAGCTAAATAAGCAGAACCTAGTTAAAACCTCAAAAGTAGCAAAATGTTAGCTAACATTGGCAAAATACTAGCTAAAATTTGCAAAAGGATTAGCAAATTGTAACTAATAGCTAAAAGTGGCAATGGGTTAATTGAAATGTAAAGTAGCTTAAGGGTAGCTAAAAGAAAAAAAGAGATTGGTTAAAGTAGCAAAAGGCAAGTTAAAGCTAAAGTAGCAAAAACTAGGTGAATGCGAAAGTAATGACAGACTAGAAGCTAAAGTAGCAATAGGCCACATAAAAAATAACAAAAAGCTAAGTGTAAAAACATGCTAACAGAAAGGGTAAAAAATGAAAAGACTAGAGCTTAAACTAGCAGAACAGAAGCTAAAAGCTAAAACGGTTTAAGTACAAGCATATTAGTTAGTTTAGTTTATTCGTTTCTTTAAAAACAACAACATAAATTCAACAAACAACAAAAATACAAATCATAAATTAAATGCAACGTAGCAGAAGAAAAAAACTTATATCTGCCCATTTTTCTCAAATAAATAAATTCAATCAAAAAAGAAAAATATCAAAGTTTAAACTCCTTGAACAAAAATTCATGCATTTACATATTTCTCCAGCAAATTAATTGTCATCATTCTCTCAAATATATTATTAAAATGTTTATTCATTTAAAACAAAGCAACATAAATTCAATATTCAATAAAAATACAAAATAATACATACTGTATGTAGTATTCTGTCAAAGAGAACAATCTTTTGTTGGAGTAAAAACAGTGCTAATGCATTTTTTTAACAAAATACTTGTCAATAGTTAAAAAGTATCAAATCTACAGAAATAAACATCGTTCCTGTCTTCTGGATTAGCTGAATGTTTTGAAATATGATGACTAAAATAGCACGTGTTTGAAAGCAGCCAGATAGAAGACACATTAAAAAAAGAACAAAATGGTGTGAAATAAAGGATAATATTTCAGTTTCTCCTGCACGTCCTGGCTGTCGCAGTTCGTCTGCATCCTGCTGTGCAGATGCTCAAGTCAAATCACTGTCAAGTGTTTGTTTGCACATCTGAAGTAATGGCTGCTCTGGCTTGTGATGAAACGTGTTGCATCTGTAGTTGCTGGCTCAAAGTTTCCCTTTCACATCTGTTCTGCATTTGGTTTTTTTTTATTTTTATTTTTTTTTGGAGTCTGATCTTTTACTGATTGGGACAAACAGGTGTCCTCGACTGCCTTAACTTTACATTCCAAGAGGAGGTGCTAGAAAACAGCAAACTTCTCCCACTTTGGCTACGGCTGCGGGTGTAGTTARTGGCAGGGAAAGTTCCTTTATTACTGCATGATTGGTGGGCGATAAGGTTTTTGCCTTTGTCTGTTCTCATGTATGTATTTATTTATCTATCTATTAGCAAAATAATTCACGAATCAATGGAAAAAATTTAATGACATTTCCAACGTCGGGTGATAGGCATTCCTTCAAGGAAAGGCTAGGCCTTTGATTTTTTTTATATTGCTCCAAGCTCTTGTCTGACAGAGACATTAGAGAGGTGCTGCCTGTGGGACAAGACTGTCGGAGCCTGTGTCATGGAGTGCTGCTCCACAGATACCCACCCCCAACACACACACACACACCCTACCACCTCACCCCCACCCCGCAGGCAGCTGGGACAGATATCAGCTCGTACATCACTGGTGGCAGCGGCAGCTAAGAACCCTCATCCTCTGACTGTCACCGGGGCGACTGGGGCTGCAGGTCCTGACAAAGTGCTGACCGTCTCGTTTGATCTTCCCTCACTCTTCCCCACTGACCTTCTTTCTGTCTCCCGCCCTCGCCATCCATCTCCCTGCTCTCTCCGTCCGGCTGTTTGCGGACGGCTGTGAGGGCCGCGCCATGCTAATTGAAGTGTGGGCTTTAGATGCCCGCGAGGCAGGAAGCGTAATCACACATCATATCAGACTGAGCCCACACTCATCCGGYGAAGGAGAAATTCACAGCTGTCTTTCGGATCTCGGGAAGATTTTGAAATAAAACCAGGGGTCATCATATGGTTCTGGTTATAACGTGAATGCTCCTTTTGCAATTATTGTTTTACGGAGGAGCCAGAGGAATTCTTGGACACTCTTTACAGTAATTGGTTATTGGTATGGCAATTACTGTCAGGAGAGATGCAAAATCATATTCACTCTGTCCCTCAGCAACTAAAACCTTCTTTCTTTTCTTTTCTTTCTTTTTTATAATCTGGTTTTAGCTGTCAGATTGCAGGCTCTATGTGATTTATGGGCCTTTTAATGCCTGACTTTAACTCATCAGAGGTAGAGGAAGCCAGTCAGCATGGCTTGGTGCTTTCCTCTTTTGCACACAAAAGAGACGGACGTAGCAGATAGATACTGTAACTTGTTGCAAAGAGCCCCAATCCAGGTTTCAAGCTGAGCAAAAGTTCAGACCGAGTTCAGCATTATGCAGGTTTTTATGTGTGACACGAACCAAAACATGATGAGCTCAACTTTGCCTTAAAGCATCAGTTCCCAAACAGTCTTTGAAATATGTCTATTTTGAGGAAAGAAACGGGGGGATTATAAATGAGAAAAGCGTGTTTACAATTTATTAAAAATGAAATGAATGTAAAGGTTTGGAGCATAAATTCACAAAAATCAGTTTTTAAGTTTTTTTTCTCATAAAAATATTTCTTAACTAAGATAAAACAGACACCATTAAAAAAACAAAGTAATTATTAATAACAATCTGTATTAAACCATGAATTAGTTTTCTTGCATCCAACCTAATTTATTATTTAAATGTCAAACATGTCAGTAAGTTACCTGCTTACAGAGTTTTCTGGATTATCAGCACATGTAGATTTATTTGCTTTGACATTTAAAGTTGTTTACTTTAAAAAATGTAAAATGAGCAACAAGTTAAAAAAATATACCAGGAAAAAAAATAAAATGAATGTGGAATTTGATTTGGCCAAATAGTGAGCCCGCTTTAATATGTTACCAACAATGTTTATTGCCCACCGCCAAAGATGAATGGGCAATATGGTTTTTGCCTGTAWGTGTGTAGGTGTGGGTTTTTAATGAAACTTTCAGAAAATAATTGTTGGATGAATATTTACAACTGAAGAACTTTTGGAACCGATGAAAAGCAAGATGGCTGCCTCAGCCAACAAAATATTGGAAATACGACAATTTTACAGACATTGGGCCTCATGCAAKAACCGTTGTACGCACAGATTTGTTCTTAAATTGTGCGTACGAGTGATTTTACGAGCAGTCAGTCTGCTGTTATCCAGACGGGTTTTCTTCACTAATAACTTTATATTTCGTTAGTTTGAAGATATTTTGAGTTGAAAATAAATC